GTGGGTGGCATGTATGTATAATCCCAGTACTAGGGAGGCAGTGACAGGAGGGTCCTGTTGGGGTTTGCTGGCCAACTGGTCCAGACAAATTGGTGAGTTCCAGGTTCAGTGAGAGATCCTGTCTCAAAAACCTAAAGTGGGGGTCTAGAGAGATGGCTCAGTGCTTAAGAGCACTGACTGCTCTTACAAAGAATCTGGGTTTGGTTCCCAGCACCCACACGGTGGCTAACAACCATTGGTAACTCCAGTTCTAGTGGATCCGACACAACTTTAAGTTGGTCAATGAAAATTAGGGGAGGGAAAAAACCATTGGAGCCCTTAAACTCCGGATTCCTCCGGGGGGATATTGATTTCAGTTTCCAGGTACCCTCTCCACTGGCAGAGAACTTCATCTTTCTGTATGAATGTGTGTATATATGTGTGATTCTTTATGTGCGTGGATGTGATTATTTTAAATCTTTTATGTGTATGAGTGTATCACCTGCATGTATGTAAGTGCACCCATGTTGTGCAATGCCCACGGAGGACAGAAGAGGGTGTCAGATCCCCTGGAACTGGAATTATGAGTGGTTGTTAGCCACCATGCAGGTGCTGGGAACTGAATCTGAGTCCTCTGCAAGAGCAGCCAGTGCTCTTAACTGCTGAGCCATCTCTCCAGCTCTGAGATATGATTCTTTATCTTTCAGTAAAAGTCTGTTTGACTGATTCTCTCTGCTGGAATGAGGTGTTTCCTGCCTTTTAATTCTTTAATTGGCTGAGAAAACAAACCCAACTATAACCCCTAGACAGAAAACCATGCCACCCACAGCAATAGTGAGTTCCAGGCCAGTTTTCTCAAAATAAATAAATAAGTAAATAATAAATAAATAAATAAATAATGCATTACAACATTGCAGGGCCAACAAGAGGGCTCAGCAGGTTAAGGACACTTGCTGTCAAACCTGACAACAATCCTAAGGACCGGCATAGTGGATGGGGAGAACTAACTCGCTTCTGCAGGTTATCCTCTGACCTACACACATGCACCCTATCACATGCACACACACACCCTCCACAAATACATAAACATAATGAAAATTAATAGTGTCACATTGCTGATAAAAAAACAAAAGAACAGAGTGGTCACTTTCCTGAGGCCACCCAACTATCAAGGGATGGAGCTGGAACCATGAGACCACCAGCCTGTGTGTTATTAAGATCCACTCTAGTTACTCTTGGGCTTTATTTCTGCATGGCAAAATCCCGTCATCCAAAGTAAGCAGAGCCAACAAGCTAATACAAAATGTAAGAAACACAGAGTTTCTCTAGCTGAAGGAGAGGTCTGACTCCTCACCAGACAAGCTCCTGGATGCCCAGGTCCCTGGCAGCGAGGGTGCTGGCGGCATGGAGCATGGGGGAGAAATGCTCTTGCCAATTCCTGCAACTGAAGAAAAGCCAGACCTGTTCACATTCCCACACTGCACACCCGGCACTGTAAAACCCACCGTTTTTCCAAATACCAGTGAAGATGGACGGTAGGTGCTGTGTTTTTTCCAATTAGTTCCTTTTTTCAATCATATTTGTCTGTGGGCACACACACACACACACACACACACACACACACACACACACCATGCACACCTGTGAAGGTCATAGAACTTGTGGAATCAGTTTTCTCTTCCTACCCCAGTTCTGACACACGGTGAGGACCCCCATTTGGAACCCAAGGATCGAACTCAGATGTCAGGCTTGGCTCCTATACCCACTGAGGCATCTCACTGGCCCCTCATCAGTTCTTTCTGGAGCATTAGTGCACATCTCAGTCTCTGAAGCCTGGGAACTATCTCACAAAGATGCTTGTGTCCTGCAGAGGGCAGCATCCCCACAAAGTTCTTTCTCCAGGAACTTGGGTGAGGCAGTGAGAAGGAGCCTTAACTACAGGAAGGAAGGAAGAGCACAGGGTGGCATTTTGCTTAATTCCTTTACTTGAATGTAGGGATACCACTATGCACCCACATGCATTCACAGCAGCTAAACAACAGAAGCAGTTGCACTGTGTGTTGCTTCCTATGTTAGACACTGGGAAATGAAGAGATAAGAAACCATCTCTGGGATTGGGGGCAGGGAAGTAGACAGACCTTGTATTGTGTGTTCTACTGAAGACACCTCGAGTGGCTTAGCAAGATGCATGGAGGGAGAGTGAAGTGGCTCAGTTGGTAGAGTGCTTGTCTAGCATGCATGAAGCCCTGTGTTCAATTCCCAACACTACATAAACCGGTGGTGATAGTACACCTGTAACCTCAGAATTTGCTGGGTAGAGGCAAGGGGATCAGAGGTTCAAGGTCATCCTCAGCTACACAGTGAGGCCAGCCTGAGCTATATGAGACCCTATCTCAAAGAGGGTGTGCGGGGGTTGGGGGGAGAACAAAGTAAAAAAGGAAAAAGAAAATACGTTAAAAATTTTTAGAAGCTATAAACTAATGTGCGTGGTGTGTGTGTGTGTGTGTGTGTGTGTGTGTGTGTGTGTGTGTAGACCATAGGTGAACATCATTTATCTTCCTCAATTGCTTACCATTTTATTTTTTATTTTATTTATTATTCTTATTTTACGTGTATTGCCTGCATGTAAGTGCACCTGTGTCATGCAATGCCCACAGAGGTCAGAAGAGGGCACTGGATCTCCTGGACCTGGAGTTACAGACAGTTGTTAGCTGTCATGTGGGTGCTGGGAATTGAACCTGGGTCCTCTTCAAGAGCAGTCAGTGCTTTTAACCACTGAGCCATGTCTCCAGTCCACCGCCCGATTTTTTGAGACAGAACCTTTCATTGAACCTAGAACTGGCGGTTTGGCTAGACTAACTGGCCAGTGAGCCCCCGGAATCCTGGCTCTGCCTGCCTCCCCTGTGCTTCAATTAGAGATGTACACCACTGTGTGTACATATTTTTTAAATATTTTACTTTTATTTTATGTGTATGCATGTATTGCCCGCATGTAGGTAAGTGCACCCATGTTGTGCAATGCCCGCAGAAGACAGAAGAGGCTATCAGATCCCCTGGAACTGGAATTATGGACAGTTATTAGCTGCCATGTGGGTGCTGGGAATCAAACCCAGGTTTTGTGCAAGAACAGGCAGTGTTCTTAACTGCTGAGCCATCTCTCCAGCCCACACATATTTTTTTAAAAAAGATTCTATTATTATTTTGTGTGTGTGTGTGTGTGTGTTTACCTGCATGAATGTAAATGCACCACATGTATGCAATACCTATATAGGCCCAAAGGGGGTATCAGATCCCCTGGAACTGGAGTTATGGATGGTTGTTAGCTACCTTAGTGTTGGGCACTAAACCCAGGTCCTCTGTAAGGGCAGCCACTGCACTTAACTGCTGAGCCATCTCCCCAGCCCCCTTGCCCAGCTTTTTCTGTAGGTGCTAGGGATCGAACTCAGGTCCTCATGCTTGTGCTGGGAGCATGTGAACAACTGAGCTCTCTCCAGCCAGATATGTTTAGTTCGTTACACTTTTAAATTAACTGATAATATATGGACCTGAGGAGGTGTTACATAAAAACCTGGAACTGGTGAGAGCCTAGAATGGTTTCTCACTCAGGTGGAATCTCTGTCTCTCCACTCCCTGAGGCATTCCACACAGATTCCCGACATACGGATCCATGGTGTCTTTGTAGGTATTTGATCCCTGTGGCATTCCACAGAGATTCCCGACATACGGATCCGTGGTGTCTTTGTAGGTATTTGATTTTAGAATTCCTGAGGATGAAAGGGGGAGTAAGTAGGGTCAGGGAAGGACTATGGAATGTTCTCTTCTGAGACAACTATTCTTTTTAACATTTTAAAATTGTATTTATTTGAAAATTTCATACATGGATACAATGGATCACATCCACCCCTCAATACTCCTTCCAACTCCCCCATCACAGCTCCCTCCCAACTTCATGTGTTCCATATATATGGAATATAAAGATATGAAATTTATATATATGATATATATTGTATATATAATTGATATATATATATTTTTCCACTGAGACTGAGTCCAATTAGTGCTGCCCATGTGTGCATGGGTGTGGGGCCATCCATTGCAGCATGGTTGACCTACTAGTGGTCACACCCCCAAAGAAAAGTGAGTCACCCTCCTCAGCTGCCATCAACTGCCAATAGACCTTCAGCTAGGGATGGGGCCTTCAGAGCCCCCTCCTGACCCCATAATGGAATTTTGACTGACTTGATCTTGTGCAGGTCACCACAGCTGCTGTGAGTTCATGGGTGGAACAGCCCTGTTGTATCCAGTGGACAGCATTTTGCAGCACCCCTCCCCATCCTCTGGCTCTTACGTGCCGTCCCCACGCCCATCCTCAAAGCTCCAAGCCCTGGGGGAGGTGCTTGGGGGAGGTTTGATAGGATGCTGTTTGTTCTCAGCACTTTCAGCAGTTGTGAGTCTCTGCATTAACCACAGCTGCCACAGTGGGTAGGAAGTCTCTCTGAGCGGGGCTGGGAATAGCTTGAATCTGTGTGAACGTAACTGTCTCACTCTGTGTTACTTTCCTATTGCTGTAATGAAACACAGACCAAAACTAACTTGTGGAAGGAAGTTTTATTTCATCTTATGCTTCCAAGTGACAGTCCATCTTTGAGGGAAGTCAGGCAGGAACCTGGAGGCAGGAACTGAAGCACAGACTGTGGAGGAACGCTGCTCACTGGCTTGCTCCTTTGGCCTGCTCAGCCTGCTTTCTTACACAACCTAGGACCACCTACCCAGGAGTGGCACCACCCACAGTGGGCTGGGTCCTCCCACATCACTCAACAATCAAGAAGATGCCCCACAGACATGGCCACAGGCCAACCAGATCAAGGAAGTTCCCCAACTGAGGTTCCCTCTCTCAGCTGCTTTGTTGACCACCAAGCCAACCTAGACACTCACCTTTTCTTCCTCCGCTCATAGGTCCTTGCTATGGTTGCATACTGTCTTCCTGTACTCTCCTTGCTCAGGTCTTCTGGGGATGCACCATGGCCAATCTTTCTGCGGTGTCTCTGTTCATCCTGCAGGGCTTCTCCACTGCCTCCGAGTTACGGCTGCTGAGCCTGACTGCCTTTCTCCTCATTTACCTGGCGGCAGTTCTGGGGAACATGTCTATCATGGTTGCTGTGATACTGGATGCCCACCTGCACACACCCATGTACTTCTTCCTCAAACATCTCTCCCTAGTGGATCTGTGCTCCATAACCACCACTCTGCCCCAAGCCCTGGTGGCCACCATGGCAGATTCCAAAGAGATTTCCTTCACAGCCTGTGCATCCCAACTCTTTGCTTTTGTCTGCCTTGGCTCCACAGAATGTTTCCTAATCACCTCCATGGCTTTAGACCGCTGCCTGGCCATCTACAGGCCCCTGACATACGGGGCAGTCATGACTTCTCAGACCTGTGTCTCCCTGGTAGTGCTGGCCTGGGCCAGTGGGCTCCTTTTCTCCACATTCCACACGGTCAACACCTTCTCCTTGCCCTTCTGTGGCCCCAACATTATCAACCACTTCTTCTGCGACATCCCCCCACTCATGCGCCTAGCCTGTGCCGACACGCGAGCCCACGAGGCTGCAGGATTTGTGGTCAGTGGCTGTGTCATCATGACCTGTTCTGTCCTCACCTGCCTGTCTTACATTCGAATCGTGTGCACAATGGTTCAGATCCGTTCTGTGGCAGGCCAACGGAAGGCCTTCTCCACATGCTCTTCCCATCTGGCTACCGTGCTCCTGTTTTACGGCACAGGAAGTTCCGCCTACATGCAGCCCACCACCCACTATTCCGCGCTGCAAGGGCACGTGGCTGCTGTATTCTACTCTATCCTCACACCCACCCTGAATCCACTGATCTACAGCTTGAGGAACAAGGACATGAAGGCTGCCCTGTGGAAACTCTATCCACAGGTGCCATCTTGGAGCCTGGCCCTTAGACACAGGAGGGTCCAGAAACGGACTGGCACTGGATTTCCCCTGTGATGTTGGAGGCGAGACCATCAGACAGGACACTGTCCTTGGTAGAGTTGGCTATAAATTTAGCTAAGTTGAGCAAGAGGCCTTGGGAGATGCCTGGGTGAAATAGGGAAATAGCCAATGTTCCATTTAATGTAGGTAAATAGTGCCCCACCTACGCAGGGGAAGCCAATGAATAGTGTGAAATTCACAGTAAACTTGTGGCTGTGTCTAGGAGGAGGAGACTCAGTCCTGTTTCATCCTATTTCCATGGCCTCCTGTAGGTCACAGGCCTTGCCCCTCTCTGGTTCTGATGTTTAATAGTGCTCGTTTTCCTCTACTGGGAGCCCTAAATGCACACCATGGACTCCATCAGAAGCAGCAGCAGGATTTCAGAAGGAAAATAGGTTCAACTGGAAAGACGGTGTTTAGTCTTCAAGTTGCTGCTTCCCAAGGGAACACCAAGGAAACCTGTCTTTCTGCAGCGTTTCTCGGGAGTGCTTGTTGGTTGGGGTTTTGATGCCAAGCCTTTAATCCCAGCACTCAGGAGGCAGAGGCCGTCAGATCTCTGAGTGTTCAAGGCCAGCCTGGTCTACATAGTGAGTTCCAGGACAGCTGGGGCTACAGGGAGACCCTGTCTCAAAAAGACCAAAAAAAAAAAAAAAAAAGACGACAAACAGGGCTGGAGAGGTGGCTCAGTGGGTGACGGTGCTTGCCACTGAGCCAGAGGAACTGAGCCAGATCCCTAGGGTCAGCAAGGAGGAAGAGCAGACACCTGCAAGTTGTCCTGATGACTTTGCTGGAGTGTGACCTTATTAGAGCCTACACTGCAGACTATTTTTAAGATCAGGTTCCCAGCTAGGGAGAATGCTCTGTGTTCAAAGCCCTTGCCATGTGAGTGAAGGTCAGTGTTGGAATTCTCAGCCTATGTAAATGCAGGCTGGGTGTGGTGACTCACATGGTTGTCAGTTACCACGTGGGTGCTGGGAACCAAACTCAGGTCCTCTGCAAAAGCAGCCAGTGCTCTTAACCATGGATGGCACTGTGGGCAGTGCCATCTGTGGGCAGGTGGGCCTGAGCTTTATAAGAAAGGTAGCTGAGCAAGCAAGAGGAAGCAAGCCTGTAAGCAGCGTTCTTCCACGGTCTCTGCTTCAGCTCCAGCCTCCAGTTTCTTGCACTGAGTTCCTACCTGACTTCCCTCAAAGATGGACGGTGACCTGAAAGTGGAAGATGAAATAAACCCTTCATATCCAAGGTGATTTTTGGTCATGGTGTTTATCACAGCAGCAGTAGGTTAACCAGGGCAAGGATGTACAGCAACATGATTCTGAGAATCTGGGGCCAGTAATTCCAGTGTTGTGGGGCAGCTACTCCTGCCAGAATCAGCAAGCTCCAGGTTCAGTGAGATGTCCAGCATCAAATAAAGTGGAGGGACTGGAGAGATGGCCCAGCCATTAAGAAAACTTGCAGAGGGCCTAAGTTGAGTTCCCAGCACCCATATCAGGCAGCTCACTAATGTCAATTGCAGACCCAGGAGATCTGATGCCCCTTTCTGGCCTCAGCAGGC